ATATTCCTCCATGTTAGCAAAGTATTACTTAGCTATTAGACTATCAATCATCTCTTTGTTAAATGCTGGTAAATAACAAAATAATATTATAAATTCTAGATTTATTTTGAACCAAAGTAGAAACAATAATAAAATAAAAAATATTTTGGAGTATGAATGGTACTTTTTAAATATCTTTGAAAACCCTGTCCTGATACCTGTCTGGTTTCTCAACAACAACATGTGATCCAGTCATGTGATTTAACCTCCATCTTTCTGTGGTTAATTCTCTGAGACTCTGTTACAAATTATGTCAAAAGTAGAGACTTCAAACTATACACCAGTTTTTAAAGACTGCTCCACTTCAAAAATAATAGTCATAATTTCTCCTTACCTGAGGAAAGTCTGCAGTATGACTCCTGCTGCTGTAGGCTATCTGGTCTGTCCCATCCCTGACCTTGTTCTTTGTAACTGTGGTAATGAAGATTTATTCTAAATATGTGGAAAGCAGCCAGCACAACTTCTGCACAGAAATGAAAGACGACTGGGTTAAGCTCGTCATCCACGAAGTCATTTCCCGAATCGGAAGCTGGAATCGGAAGCTAATTTCAGCTTCGTTTGGCAAGGGATGTAACAGGTAACAACAACTAATCATGTTAACTAGCTAAACATTATATAATGTGTAACTCATCATTTAGCTAACATTATCTGCCTCCAACAGCATGACTCCACTTACATGGTTCGTTTGGTAAAAACTGTGTGAAGTTTTAGTTGCTCTTTACACCGAAAGGCTCTGCTCAGCACAGTACCTCCTATCCGTCATCTCATCTGCAGGACTAGCTTGCTCATGCTGCGTTCAAAGACGGCTCAGAAAAATGCATTACCATATGTTAATAATGGATAAAACAGTTGTTATGGCTGAGAAAAGTGCGGGGACAGAGAGCGCAGATGCAGGAAGTGCGGGGAGACATGTCCACGCATATCCCGCATCCGTTGTGTCCGTGCCTTCACTGCCCAGGGCCCTTTGGAGACCGTGGGCCCCTGGGCAGTTGCCCAATTGCCCATATGGTTAATCCGGCCATGCCCAGGGCCCTTTGGAGACCGTGGGCCCCTGGGCAGTTGCCCAATTGCCCATATGGTTAATCCGGCCTTGTACTCCAGAAGCTGCCAGCTCACGGACTTTTTTTTTGTCCCGAGCAGCTGATCCACATCAGTGCTGATATATCCTGCCACAAAATCCAACTGCACACGGTCAATTTCAGGTAAAGATCTCCAGTCCGTCTGTTTCGGTTTTCAGTGGGAGACGCGTCAAATGACAAAAAGTTCAGATATTTGAACTCTGGCGGCGGCTGCTTCCGCAGCACCACATGCACAAAAAATGCTCTGCGCCCCTTCCGTCTTCCTTGTGCGCCACCCAAAACGTACGTGACACGACGCACGACCCCTAGAGGTATGTCCACCACAGACTTTGCATGTAAAACAGCTGCTCCAGCTGTGAAGATGACACCCCACCCAGTGAAAAAACTCCAGTAAATAGATTGAAAGGTTAGTGCTCTGTTTGTGCTGGTTTGTGCCGTTAAATTTTTCATTTGTGCTGCTTTCGTTTCTGAGTTATTAAAGATTATAGTTTTAGGTCATCCAAAGGTCACCAGCACCCCGTCTCGCTCCAAAACAAACCAAAGTGGTCTACTTTTTAGTGCTCTGTTTGTGCTGGTTAGTGCTGTTAAAATGTTCGTTTGTGCTGCTTTCGTTTATGAGTTATTATGAATTATAATTTTAGCCAATGACATCATCAGCACCCCATCGGGCTCTCCAGCACTGCCTCAAGTACAGCCACGTAGTCTGTGTGGATGAGGGACCAGCGGGTCCTCATGATCCCACTGACCCGTGTGGCTGCAGGATGCAGGCGACAGAGCTGGCTGCAAATGGCCTCCACCAGGCGGCTGGTGTCTGGCCAGTTTGCAGGGCCCGAGTTCACTCCAAGTAGGCAGCTGGAAGACGTGAGAAGAGAAGGCAGGGTGTTAGAAAAATAAAAGAGGCAGATGTTGAAAAAAATAGATCCTTTTAGAATAAAGCTAACCGTTGGAGGCTTTGTTTGCCTGGACAGGCGGTGTTCTTCCCCTTCGCTGCCTTGAAGCACCCCTTGATCTGCCTCTCCTGGTATCTGGAATTTGTCTCGCTCCGACATGCGCTGCCAGAGCGAGAAGAGCCGGTCCACCCTGGACTCACTGATACCGTCCAGGCTCCTGACCTCCACCAAGGCCTTGGCCAGCCTGAGAACATGTTGGCATCCTGGCTGGCCATCAGGACCTTGGACTTCCTCCTGAAACCAGATGTAGACAAGAAATAATGCCGTGAGTTAAAACACATAAAAATAAAATCAACTGACAGGAAATTTATTTTTAAAGATATCAAATCTTACAGTAAGGTGTGTCACGTTTATCATCTGAAGACCAAGCACCCTTTGGCTCTTCTAGTTGAGGGCATGTTTGAGGTGGTCACTRTAGGACAGCAGAGACATCTTCCCCTCAGCTGCACTCACAGGCGCCGCAGCCACTGCGCGGTCCTCGTTCCACCTCACCACTCCATCCACAAGGAACGCCTGGAAGTAGCTGGCACGAGCAGATGTTCCCGAAGAACCCATTTATTAATGAAGAACCATGAAAACACACTGAGCCTGTAACGGTGAGGCGTGGATCAAAGGAGCTGCATTTACCAGGGATGAAGCGGTTCAGGTGGAGGTGGAAAGACTCCAGGGAGTTGGAGCCCCTCGCGCAGCAGTACACTGGGAGGCTGACGCCGCCTTTAGTCAGCTTCCCGGTCTGCATGTACAGCTGCACGCCTGGTGGGTCCTGGATGCAGCTGAGGTGGCGTCTCTGCGTTGTCCAGATTTCCTGGATGCGAAGATCGTCCAGCAATGGGATGTTCAGTGTGTTCCTCCCTGCCGGTCCACTGAAGGTGTCCAGGAGGTTCTGGATGAGGATGGCTGTGTCCTCCGCCCGAGGTGTGCGGCGGCGACAGTGGAGCCTCCACTCCTTCTTGGATATCCTCTGGATCACCTCAGTGTTGCTCAGGTCCACCAGCCCATGCTTCCTCCCCAGCTCAGTCCGCTTGGCGTCGGTCAGACGGCGGGCATCTCCAGGGTCCACCTCGAAGATGCAGTGAGACAGCTGCCTCATGAAAGTGGGGTAGAGCTCGTGGCTCTCGCAGGTGACACCTGCAGAGAAACATCTCATCAGGTGCCAGATGTCGAGGCGAACCACGAGGTTTCCCCACTCCTAAGAGAGATAGAGAGAGATCAGTGAGAGTTTGATGAAGATGTTACAGAAATTTCAGATGAAAACCTGAGATCAGCTCAGTTCCTACATGAAACAGGACAGCTGTCTTCGACACGCCGTCTCTGTTGCAGCAGTCTCGATCAACGTAGAGGATCTTGGGGGGAGGTACCTCGGCGTCTCGATACTGCCTCATCAGTCCGGCCGCCATGGCGCTCAGGCCCTCAGACGCCTCCGAGCAGATGAAGACGCTGTTGAGGACCTGGCCGTACTCGTTACCGACATTGGTAACCCAGGCGGCCATGTCAGAGGCGGCACCAGCGAGCTTCGTCGTCACCTGAATAGAGACGTGTTTGTGTGAGCGAGAGAGAAAACCTAGTTTACAAACATCTACAGTGGAAGCAGAGTTTCTCACCTTCTTGGTTGAATCCATCTTTAGTATGGATCCAAAGGTGGACGTGATCCGGGCCTTGTAGTCCTCTATGTGCGTTAGGATGTCGTAGCCATAGACGGTCAGCAGCCAGACCAGTGACGGCACAGGGGGCATGGGTGGAAAAAAAACCGCCCCACAGAGCACAAGGCCAGGAACTGCTCGCAGACAATGAGGTAGTGGATGGATCTCCGCATCCAGGAATCTGTGTGCTGCTCCCGCATTGTGTTGAACAGCTGGTTTGCACTGTTGCCCAGAGTGCGAGACCTCAGCTGTTCAACCACCTTCAGGTCGCAGGACAGCCTGCAGCAATAAAGCAGGTCAGAATATAAAATGATTAGTTTAAAGGGATCCCCGGTTAGTTGTAACATTAGACTTTATATGATAAACATATACTTTAACTGTAAAATAAACACTGTAAAAATGCTTTAGGATGTTCAGTTTTTTATCATTTTTAAACTAAAAGTTTAAAAATACAGTATATTACATGGATGGGGCCATTTTATTTACAAGCAAAGCATTCTGGGAAATTGATGACATCAACTAGGTCATCGGCACGAGGCTGCTAGTGAGCTGTATCAGCCCTGAAGGTTAATCTTGGACAATATCTGATGTCGACTATTTTAAATGAAACCAGAGAGCGTTGACAGAGAGGAGAAGGTAGAAATGACTCAGCCTGTAACTGAAAATAAGGATGGAGGACAACAGAGCTGCTTAATGGAAGAAAACCCTCAGCTTAGCCTGTTAGCTTTAGCATTAGCCCCGATGCTATCACCATATATATATGTATTAGCTCAGCGCTACACATTCTCCTCTCGTCACTGATGCCCTCCATTCACATGAGAGGAACGCAAAAATGACTCAGGTGCAACTGAAAATATGGATGGAGGACCTCAGTTTAGCTTGTTTGTCGCGCTAGCGCCGAGCTAATACATATTAGGCAATACAGTGTCAGTGCTTGCACAAAGGCTAACAGGCTAAGCTGAGGATCTTCTTCCATGAAGCAGCTCTGTTGTCCTCCATCCATATTTTCAGTTMCAGGCTGAGTCATTTCTACCTTCTCCTCTCTGTCAACGCTCTCTGGTTTCATTTAAAAGAGCCGATCGTCAGATATTGTCCAAGATTAACCTTCAGGGTGGATATAGCTCGCTAGCAGCCTCGCACCGATGACCTAGTTGATGTCATCATTTACCCAGAATGCTTTGCGTGTATATAAAATGGCTCCGTCCGTGTTAAAATATATTTTTAAAAATTTACAAAACTGAAGAGCCTACAGTATTTTTACAGTCTTTATTTTACAGTTAAAATATATGTTTATCAAATAAAGTCTAATGTTACAACTAATCGGGGATCCCTTTAACGAGCCGATGTGGAAGGACTAAAACATTTATAATAACCTCCTTAAATTCAAAAACGCATCATTAATTCTAAAGGGAAATTAAATGTTAACAAATCATTAAATGTATTTTAAAAATAATAATTAAGTAGTGAAATTTTTGATGTTAATTTCAATAAGTTTTAYAATAAAATGGCCTTTAATTATTTTGTGTCAATAATTACTAAAAGGTAAACTAAAGGGACATTTCATTGGTCAGATGTGCATTTCATAATTCAGTGGCTTATGTATTTAGTTACTTTTGACACTCTAAACAGGTGCAAATGAAAACAGAGAAGTCCAGCTGTTTCTCTATGTAAGGCTTTTAGGTTTAAAAAGTTCAAAAATAAAACTAAAAAGAAAACAGTTGTTGAGGTTGTGTCTTACTTGTATGTGAGTACAGCAGGAAACAGGCAGCTGTAAGTGAGCTGCAGCTGTTTGATGATGCCCTGTGACCACCCTCCGACCTTCTTCTTGCACCGACGGCACTCCTGGTACTCCATGGCCATGAGGTACAAGCCGTCGATGTCAAGGACCCTCCGGATGGTCCTGTGCCTTTGTCAGGGACCTGGTGCACAAAGGCTGGGGGCTGGTCAGCTGCAGGCGCCACATCCTTTGAGGCATCCACAGGAACAGCCAACATGCAAAGAAGGGGCCGGAGGACACGGGAGTCTGGTTGTAGACCAGCCGGGGCTGTGGAGGGTACCACCAGAGACTGAGGTCAGCGGTGAGGCGAGACCTCCCCAGGTGGTCCCTGACGAACAGCGTCCGGCCAATCCACTCCTGCTGCTCTGTGCTGAGAGCTGACCGCCAGGACTCAGGCAGCAGCTGCAAAGAAGTTGACAGTTTTAACATCAGACTGAACCTGTTCCAGTAAACATCCGTCCCCTCGCCACCACGTCACAGCAGATTTGATTGGTTGTCGAGACGCGGCGAGCGGCGACGTTCAGATAAAGTTCAGATTTTTCAACTCGAGCGGCGGCAGCTGCCGCGAGCACAGCATGCTCGGAAAACGCTCTGCCGCCCCTTCCGCGCCGCTCATAACGCGCGTGACGCGACGCACAACCCCTTGAGGCGCGTTCGCCATAGACTTTGCATGTAAACTGGCAGCTCCTGCCGCTCAAAACGCTCTCGGTGTGAACGAGCCATCAGTCTCTCCACACTACATTTGAACTCTGTTGTACCCTGTGTCTTGTGACACAGGGTACAACAGGGTGCCTCATTTATACAGTATATTAACAACCATTCTGTCATCTTAGCAAGATTTGATACAAGGTCAATGGAAAACACAAAGATAAACACAAGTGATATCTAAGAATGATTATTGTTGTTAGCAAATCTTGTTCTTTTAATCATTCTGTCTGCAGATGAGCAGAATGTCATGAAAACCTAGGTCATTAAAGGATGTCATGAATAACTAGCTTAAACATAAAGTATTAGTTCTATTAAACTCCCCCATCTGATCATTAAATCACCAATTAAATGATCAAAAAAACAAAAAAAACTCTTTAAAACATGTCAACATAAACCTAAGTACAGTATATGTACTTTTCTAAAATCCTAACCACAGTAATTCAATTTTTATTCCTCCCACAGTAATTACTAACCCCAAAACTTAGTTATCACACAAAAGTCTTTGGATTGTCTTGAACACAAACAAGATTGTCTGTTTTGATGTGTCGAAGGGTCAGAGGTGGTGGTGGGGCTCTGCGACTTCTTGTAGATCTTGGTTTAGTGCGAGGGGCTGGAAATGGAGGGGCACGTGGATTTGGGCATGGTGTGTATAATATAAGCATATAAACTGTGCCTCCTAGATAGAGTGAATTTAATTGTGGTTCAGTGAGAAGTATAAATATATAAAATTCTGATACCATATCATGTCACACTCCAGCAGGACAGAATCATTCAAATAAAAGGACTGTAGTTAAGAAGTATTTGTATTTCATGAATTATATTATTGCATTTGATCCACAGCCCTCAGATAGATTTTCATTTTGGAGAAAAGTTTTGGGCTTGATATACAGTATGTACATAAACTGAAACAGTTAGACTAGTGAATCTTAAATTTAACATCAATTAATTATTTTAATACAATGTAGTAATTTCTACAATTTTTGGGTGAGGTCACCTCCTAATAAATGTCCTTACATCTAACTGCTCATTTTAAATCAACACTTTTACTTTTAAAACTTAAATATCAGATACTTTAGGACTTTTACTCAATTAATATTCCTAAAGGAGACACACTTTTACCAAAGTAAGTTCTTGGTAAGATACTTGTACTTTCACTCAAGTATCACTTTGTGGTACTTTATACAACACTGGATAGTTTACATATGACCACACAGATAAAAGTGTTCACCACTACACTAACCAGTGT